ATATATATATATATATATATATATATATATATATATATATATATATATATATATCTTTTTCGAGGAAAAAAATACACGCTTAGCAGAATACAAATCTACAGTAGTGAATCGACGCCTAAAGGTGAAAAGCGCACGTGGTTCCTGCAGGGTTAACGAGACACGGCGTGACCGAGTCCGGTAAAAGACCGCTAAACGAGGCGCTGATGAAATCCGCAAACAACCGTAATACGATCGCGTCATCGTTAATCGCCGGGCGCGCGAACTTCGTATTCTCCTTGAGAGCATTCACGGGGGGGAATGCTTACTCCCCGGCGGCGTGTCGGCCTCAACTAGCGGATTTCGCTTTCGCAAATCGATTACAGTGTGGCGAAAGGACCGCATGCCGCCACGCTGTAAAAAGAAGTTAACGCCGGGCGCGCCTCACGTCCGGGCGCGAGAGGAACTCTTGCCGAAAAGTCGCGGGGAGTGCAGGAGCGTCAAGTCAGGTGACTATTTTCGTCGTCCGGTCGCGACGTTTTTACGTAATCGAGCATAACCTGGCGTCATCGCCGAGCACATACACACTTACACAGAGAGCGAGAACACTGTCTGTCTGGTCGATCGATCGCGGCACGGGTGGTCGCGGTTGTGCGGCATCGATTGCCGCCGTATGACGAGAGGTTATGCGAATGTCACGAATGACGAACGTCGTGAGCGTTGAGCGACCGCACGAAACGTCACCGTCGGCGTCGTCGTCGTCGTCGTTCACTAAAGGATTCGCCTACCTGTTGTTAACGTCACGAAGTCAACGGGTCGTCCACCATTTGCAAACTAGCTAGCACAGCGCCGTGCGTCCTCCTAAAATACACCCGCGGCGCAGACCCGAGCGCACCTGGCGACGAAAGCGAGCACGAGGTCCGACACAAGCGGCCGCATTCGAATTATCCGCTGTCACGTGACGCCAGTGTTCCGATATTGGAGAGGCTATACGCGCATGCGTGCACGATACCAGGAAAGTATCTAAGACAAATAATATAGTGTACCGTTGGGATGTCCCTACATTATTATTGAAAAATTAAAACAATGTCAATATTATTGAAAAATTAAATGTCAAAAAAAGGAACCTATACGTTTATAAAGCAGAACAGGTATTTACAAAAATTATTTATTTAGTAATCATATACTAATTACCGAGTATATTATTATTTTAACGCATCAAATATAAAATTCGGTATATAGTATAACAATAAAAGAAAAGGGATGGTAGATAGGATAATCTTACAAAGAAATAAAATTGAGTGTAGTAAAATAAAATATTTTATTAGGCAGAATTTTATTGGATACTAATATTTGTTGCATGGGTAAGGAAAACTGCCAAAAACCTTATCAGTATCCACATAACAAAAATATATTGCACATTTCTTACAATGAAAATAAAATGTGAATTCTGTCAATGTAAATAAAATAGAGATTATATATAATTTGGAAAAATATTTTATATAGAAATAAAAAGAAATTCCAATTTGGGACTATTTAAGAAGTTTTTTAGAGATTTGTGCTATATGGGTTTCAAGTGCTTGAAGCATCTATTTTATGAACACCTCGTGCTCGCTCAGATCATATATTAATTTCGTTTTTTGTGATAAATAGAGCATTATTGAATAGATTTTAATTTTATTTATGACACAAATTTTATGTATTATAGTAATTTCTTTTTATTTCTATATACAATATTTTTCCAAATTATAATCTTTATTTTATTTACATTGACAGAATTTACATTTTATTTTCATTGTAAGAAATGTGCAATATGTTTTTGTTATGTGAATATATCCACATAACAAAACTTTTTATTTCTATATAAAATATTGTCAATATATCCACATAACAAAAACATATTGCACATTTCTTACAATGAAAATAAAATTTAAATTCTGTCAATGTAAATAAAATAGAGATTTTAAGATTATCCTATCTATCATCCTTTTTCTTTTATTGTTATACTGTATACCGAATTTTATGTTTGATGCGTTAAAATAATATACTCGGTAATTAATATATGACTACTAAATAAATAATTTTTGTAAATATCTATACTGCTTTATAAACGTATAGATACTTTTTTTGACATTGTTTTAACAATTTTTCAATAATAATGTAGGGATCCCAACTGTACACTATATTATTTGTCTTAGATACTTTCCTGGTGTCGTGCACGCCGCGCATGCGCGTATAGCCTCTCTAAATTGGAACACTGCGTGACGCTGACGCAGAGCGCGTAGCGCTGACATTCCGCTCTATTGTACTTTCTGCACTTTGCTTGACTTCAGACTTTTATGCTCCTTCAGGGAGCTTATTACCTATCACTGAAATATATACTACCTAGAACGCGCGCTGCCTCTTGAGGCGTGCGGGATGAGAGAGAGGTTTCTTGTTTCCTCTCTTATCCTTGTCTGGTTGATAGTATAATCGAAAGTGGGGAGAATGTGATACAATCCAAGTTAAAAGTTAGAGATAATTGATTTGTTCTTTTCAGCTGCACTGCTGAACTGGTGCAATAAGTTAAAGTGAGACAAGTATATTTTTTTCACTTTAACTTATTGTACCAATTCAGCAGTGCAGCTGAAAAGAACAGATCAAATATGAAAACCAGTGACCACTGGTCTGCGTTCCAAAACTCTACTCGACGGGTAAAGTAGCATTTAATTCACCAATAAGAGCAAAGATAACTAGGATTTCTTTATCATGATTGGACAATTAAATGTACTCTGCCCGTCGAGTAGTGTTTTGGAACGCAGCCCTGAATAGCAATGACTTAAGCTTATGAACGAAAGTTTAAGATATAAAAAAAATATATATTTTTTCTCATTTATTAGTATGCACTTATCGACTTATTATTAAGAGAGCCGGTATTCATAGTCCGATCTTATATTTAAGATCATCCGAAGTACTGTTTTAAGATGTCATGAACCAATCACAAAGTCGTATTCGTATTTTAATTACTATTAATACTTCGTATTAACACTTCGTATTAACATTACTTAAGACAGTCTTGAAATAAGATTCGACTATGAATACTGGCCTAGGTTAACCTAAAGCCAGTCGAACGTGTTATATATTTTAGTGGGTAACATTGAAATATATACTACTTGGAACGCGCGCGTGAGTGTTGCGGGATGAGAGAGAGCATGTTTATAGGTCTCAAATAGCGCTTTGTCTTTGTCTAGTATAGTTTGAACCAAAAGCTAAGTCGGCTGATTTCTAAACATAAGCTGAATCTCCGAATTAGGAACCATTTTTGCTTTATTTTTCTTAATAAATCGATAAGTGAATATTAATAAGTGAAAAAAAAAATATATATATATATATATATATATATATATATATATATTTTATATCCTAAAATTTTCGTTCATAAGCTTAAGTCACTGCCATTCAGTAGTCATTGCTTTTCATATTATCTCTAACTTTTAATTTGGATTGTATCACATTCTCCCCACTCTCGATTATACTATAAACCAGACAAAGATAAGAGAAACAACATGGACGTAGAAATATCTGGACGGAGCGTATTTCGCGGGGAGTGAACTCACAGGGATGAGAGGAATGAAAGTCGGAAGTGATCACCAAATATGGCGGCGGCCTATATCACGGAGCACAATAGCTGCGTTCGGCATTGTAAATCCAAGACGTCGGATTGCTCTTTTACCTCGAAAATACACAGAAGTAAGAGAGATACGAGATCTCGTATCTTTTTCATTTCTATGCATCTTCGAGATGAAAGAGCAATCCCACGTCTTCGACTTACAATGCTGAACGCAGCTATTGTTATCTTGGTATAGTATATTGGAAAATGTACAAAATAAATGTATGTATGAATGTGTGCGAATATAAAGTTTTATCCTGATTGTAACTGTCTGTTATATTAAAATATACCTGTGAAATGATAGTCTTTTACCATTTTTGCGTTTCCATTTTAGTTGTATTTTATTTTTCCGGCTTCTCGGTTCTCCAGCTTTTACAACTCTGATAGCAAAATGTCAGCAATGTGCCGACAAATTGCCGGCAAAATCAATCGTAGGATTGCAGCATGTATACTACCATTATATTGGCGTTATGCTGGCAAAGCATGCCGAAATTACTTACAGAGTGCTGGCAAAAACCGAACAAGACGTGCCGAGCAACACGTGATGGCAATTTACAGCGAGCAAGACGTGCCGAGCAACGCGTCACGGCAAATTTACAGCAAACAGCGAGTAAGACGTGCCGAGCAACGCGTCACGGCAAATTTACAGGACGTCTTTAAGACATCTTTAAGGTAATATCTTATAAACTTGTCTTGAATATGTATTAAAGATGTTTTATGATCCGATTTTGGACATTGTACTGTTTGGGGAGTACTTGCGAGCATTCTAACTTCGCTGCCTTTTCATATCGAAAATGGCGCGAGAATTTAAAATGCCTTACGTCAAGTCGCAGACATTGAATTTGCCTGTGCGATTTTTTCCAAAACAAAGAAGAATATATTCCGCGACAAGAGAACGATGTAATTGTTCACCGTGCTAACTGTAACCTATGAATTACTTTTTAGTCAATTTTTTACGCATATACATTTTGCAACGACCAAATTTATCTGGTGTGAAACAGTTTGACATATTTCTACTGGCAGTCGTCGAGTTTTTCCGCGCTATGCGAATGAAAAATTATGGAGTTTAGATGAGAGGAGCCGAAGTAACCAATATGAATATTTCTAGCAGTACTAGCGAGAGAACGATTCCAGGTAATTGATGGATAAACAATTTTTAGCAATTCATAGGTGTCTTAGAAAATTTTATGTGCAGTCTTGAAATTAAAAAAAAAGAAACAATCTATGCCCTGTGCATCATTCCTTTTACTTTCAGAATCATCCTTGAGGAGTCAATCCCAACTGCACTCATGCAGATTGAACGATTTAGAAAGCAGTGCGAATATTATGCTAAAAAGTATCGTTACTTAGCAAGCGAATTTTTCTTATTCATATTAGCGTTATGAACTTGGCGTATTATGTCAGAATAATATTGTGTCAGAGTAGCGTTAATATTATGCACTGAAAAGAAAATATCTAAAAAGTAGAATTAATTTCTTTCTTAGTGTGTTTATAAATATTTACATTAGATATTCACATTTTGTCGCTTTAGACATTTATATTTGTTTTTCGGCGACGCTCGACTTCCAAATACGTTTGAGTGCAGTTGAAGAATTTTTAATTAAAAACAATTAATTTCGCTTAGAAATTGAGCAAGAGTTGGACATGACGGAGACAAAATTTTCTACATTAAAATCCGAAATGAATTACACGATAGATGTCTGTCGGAAAGGAGAAATGGAAGTGAAGGAGAGTAAAGGAACATTCAATACATCGCACGAACAGACTACACCGTTGTCCAAGAGCCGAGGCTCAAAATCCTCCGTCGAATATCGCAATTGTAAATTCGAAATTATAGCTGCCGACAAAACTGCAAATTGTAACAATCTTCAAATACTTCGTAGCGTCAAGCAGAAGGCTGACATAAATTCTGATAAACCCGTTCTCTTCGCAAAGCAGCTGTGTGCAGCTAAATATTTGTATTTCCATAGACACTTCCGCTTTGAGCCCAAAATCCGCCCGGTTTTCGCCTAGAGGAAACGTCAACAACGCCGTTGACGCAAAGTGCGAAATTCCGAAGGAGGAAACGCGAAAAAGGCTACTCAACGTTACGATTACACCGAGAACTCAATCAGATAAGCTGCTTCCTTCCGCAATAACAACGATGCCAGTTCAGAACAAAACTATGGAAGCTAGTGTAGGCGATATGCGTTGTACACATATATATCCAGTGACGTAGCCAGGGAGGGAGGGCTGAGGGGACTGCAGCCCTCCCCCTGAAATTAATTTTCTGGGTTACGCTAAGTGTGAAAAAATTTTTTCGAATGACCTTTTTTTGCTCGTCAAAAATAAAAAGTACAGTCCCCCGAAACTTTTTTACGCCACTGTATATATCGTAGTCCTCCAGATAGCACAGAGAATTCTAAAAGAATTCAGTCGTATGTCACCAATTCTGAGTTCATTTTTAGGTACAAAAAGAACTCTTTTCACTGGACTGAATTCTGAAGAATTCTTTTTACATCTGAAAATGAACTCAGAATTGGTGACATACGACTGAATTCTTTTTTAATTCTTTTTGAATTCTCTGTGCTATCTGAGTCATTAAACCCAGTAACCCAGTAAACGTCTAACAGTAACATTGCATCGATGTTATAATCTCTCGCTCAGCTAACTGTAAACTAAACTGTAAGACTGTTAATTGGCACTTACAAAGCAACTGTTCTTGCTCAGCCAAATTTTTTCCCACCTAAGCTTTTTTCGGTCGCAGTATCGAAGATATATCAATCATTTTTTGTCTAATCCTCAGAGAGTAGAGATTACGCGAGAACAGTTTTAGATAAACCTAGTTTTTATTCCGTGCCAATAGGTAGACAGGGAGTACAAGAGCCTGCTGTCTTCTTGTCCGGAGTACGTGCGCGAATATTTACAATCCATAGTGAGTGATTCCGTCAAGGAATTAGTGTCGAGAGCCGACGAAGATTACTTCTGCGAAACACCGAGTTGTTTAAGAAAGGATAGCAGAGAATCGGAATTGAATTCAGACAGGTTGGAGAATACAAAAGTTAGACAAGCGGCGAAATGTAAATACGTGTCGGGAACGCCGAGGAACGAGACAAATTCCACCTTGAAGACGAGCGACGCCGCGTCCAAAATACGCAAGAGAAAAGGAAAATTGCGAAGCTCCGTTTCCAAGAGCACGGTCACGAGTAAGGACACGTATCTCTTGAACAGAAAAGAAACGAAGAGACGCAGAAACAGAGGTATAAAATTCGAACTCATCTCTAGGCGCAGTCTATTAACGTGTAACACGCAATTAACGTATTGCAAATAACGTATTTCGTAAGAGCGCGTTGCATCAGCTTTGCTCGGCGGTTTCCACAGTCAGAAATTTTCATGCAGGTCATGGCATTACTCGTCAACAATCCGCCTTGCTAAAGCATACGAAAAAATCCAATGACGTCGTAGAAATCTTTCATAACACCACATTGAAGAGCAGCAACTCCCGAGTATTCGCCAAGTATTCTAAACTTGGTCGAGGAGCGAAACATGCGAAGAAACAGAATCTTGCTAAAACTGCCAATCAGAAGACGCGAGAAAAATCTCATTCTGAACACGTTACTCGTGAATATCAATTCCGCAATAAGGAAAATCAGCAGAACCTCGGCCTTGAAATGCTGAATCGTAAAAGCAATCCGAGGTAACTTTCCGCGATCATAATAATCGGTAATTATTGTTAGGATCGTAGTAATAATCCTGAATTGTTCTAATTGTTTCTACTGTCAAATAACCAACAGAGTAACGACAGCCAATAATATTCAGGAACAAAATAAATCGAGAAAACATTTGAAGGATATTCATTTGGAAACGTTAAATTATAAAAGCAGCCCGAGGTAATTTTTTGCAATTATAATAATGGTAATTATTGTTATTAATATAATAATAATCTTTAATTATTAGTCCCCTAATTCTTGCAATTATCAAACGACTGTCTGTCAATCTGTCAACAGAGTAACAGCTGACAGTGTTCAGGAGAAAAATAAATCGGGGAAACATTTTAACGATCTCTCTCCTAAAACGTTAAGTCGTGGAAACAATCTAAGGTAATTTTTTATGGTTATAATAACAGAAATAATAAAATAAAGAGACAATATAAAATGCACAATATAAAATAATAATAAAGAATATATTTATTATATTTTAAGACTATTATGGGGAGAAAATATTTCTTTTTAAAGATAAAAGAAGGAAAGAAGAAACAATCATTTTTCTCTTAGTAGAAAAAAACTTGGAATTGTATCTTTCTGTGCGCAAAACCGAATTTATCTTTTCACTTAATATTCTCTATTAAAATACTAAATTTACTAAGATTTAGAATGTATTTTGAATAGATTTGTTAGATTTATGATGAATTTGTGAATCTCTTGCGGATATATGAACTCATGAAATGAGTTGAAACAAATGACATTGACTTGACTGCAATGTGCATTTTTCTACGAACAATTGGTGAACCTTACACATTGCTACTGTCACAAACAACTGTGTCGTCTTCTGTAGAGTGACAACCGACAATGTCCAGAAGCAACACAAGTCAGAGAAGCATTCGAATGATTCGTCGACGCAATGCAAAATTGCGCATCAATGTGAGCACACTGTGTGCAGCACGTTGGACGATCCGATGTCGATACCCAACTATGAGATTCCAACTTTGGCGTCGAAGTTGAAACGCTCCAGCAGACCGTACTTCGGCAGGTTTAATTTCCACAATATACCGTTCGTAGTGAGCACTTCCGTGACTCCGAGTCACAATCTCGGATTGAACATTCAGCAAGTAAGTCGTCCAGATGTCGAGGCGAGAGTGTCGGTCGTCTGAAACGTCTTTCGTGGCAGGTTCTGAGCGTAATGAAGACGAGGCAGCCGACTGCAAGAGGCATCGCTCCGTTATTGATACGTGAAGTCAGCAGAAGCGCGAAACCGGTGTCTACTTTTCTGGAGCAGATAAACGTACAGTGTGACAAGTCGATTCTCGACCTCAAGTCACAGACGGACGGGCAGCTCGACGACAAAGAGAGCCTGAAGCAAGACAGGAGATTGTCTGTACTCGAGCTGCAACACCTGGGGCGAGCGCAGAGCGTTCACACGGCGGGACCCAACGGCGCGAAAACTATTCCTAAAAGCTCCATTGGCTCCGGGCAATTGTGCAGAGAGAAGGGCGATTTCCACGAGGAGTATAAAGTAAAGCAGCGGTCCTCTCTTATCAAGAGCCGCACGTCGGTATATTCAAGAAATCAGCAACCAATCTCGCGAATGTCGTTGAGCAAGCAGGTGAATCGCGCGTTTGATATTTCATGTTAGCACTGTAACATCCCACATAGCTAAACTTGCAAAAATAGATTTTGCATAGTATCTATTGAATTGAAATTTCCGATATAAATGATAAGTTCAGACAAAGCTATATGGTATTACAATGAAATTTATACACATCTCCATCAATTCTTTTATCGGATTTTTTAAGGCTGCCATGGTATACACTGAAAAACTCATTTAATTGACCAAAATTTAGAGTTAACCAAAATTTGGTTGAAATAAATTGGAATAAATGTTTTGGTTGTGAGAACCAATATTTGGTACTTTGAACCAAAGGTTTGATTTTTTTAAACAAAAATGAAACAAGTTTAGTTTCAGAGAATCAAATCTTTGGTAAAAAGAACAAAATTTTGCCACAACTGAAACATTTGTTCGATCCTACTTTAACTAAATTGTGGTTAACCCAACTAAATGAATTTTTCAGTGTACTGCTAATTAGGCTATTTTGCTTATTAGGATATTGATTACAGGACAATATTGGCGATCATAAAACACATATCGCTGACCCACATAATTCTAAAGAGATACGCGACGTTTTGATTAATCTTCACGATCAGTTCGAAGAGATGAACACGTGAGTGTCGGAATGTTGAATTTAGAGCTTCCGTTTCCTCATCGCCGCCGTTTTGATGAGTGATATCGGAAGCGAGAAAACACGCGTTCGAAATTCTCTTTTTAGAGATATAATGAGAGAAAAATATATATTTATATAAAATGCAGGGTTGGGAACATTACTTTTTAAAAGTAACGCGTTACCGTTACCATTACTTGCGGTAAAAAGTAACTCGTTACTGTTACTCGTTACTGATTCTAAAAAGTAACGTGTTACCGTTATTTGAAAAGTAACGATAAAAAAATCGTTACTTTCCGTTACTTTTGTAAATAAAAAAGTTAAAATCGGCATATAAAACGAATAGTAGAAGAAACAGTACATAAATTATATGTATATAAAGACAAAATATAAGATATTTAAGCGGGAAGCACACATTATTGCATAAAGCCCATTCTACATTAGTCACAAATCGCAAGGTCGCAAAGAAATTGACTAATCATAGTCGATTGTTCTTCTTGCGATCGAAGAATAATCAATTATGATTGGTACAATTTCCTTGTGATCTTGCGATTGCGACTAATGTAGAATGGGCTTTAGGGGTGCCGCACACGAATTGATATAACAGTAACGTAAGACGTACCGTAAAAATGGACCAATTACAATCGAGTATTCACAAAAATAGCGACCTTACGGTTCAACGATACTCAAAGTAATTGGTCAGTTCTTACGGTACGTCTTACGTTACTGTTAAGTCAATTCGTGTGCGACGCCCCTTAAGTGTGGTCTACAATGAGAATTTAAGTCATAAAATTTAAGCTTTAAATCCTAAGCCGTAAGAAGTTGACCAATCAGTCAATTATAAGAAAAATAATTTCTTACAGCTTAGAGATTAAAGCTTAAATTTTATGGCTTAAGTTCTCATTGTAGACCACGCTTTAGAGGCTTTCTACAATAAGCAATACATTTTAAATCGCAATAAAATTGACCAATTACAGTGGATTATTCTTCTAATAGTCGACTATGATTGGTCAATTTTATTATGACTTAAGATTTATTGCTTATTGTAGAATGGGCTTTACGGAAAGCAGCACATTAATTGTTTATCGTGTGCAAACTTTCATCGCGTGGCAAGCATTGCCGCGTTCTGTGTACAGAAGCCATCATAATAAAAAAGTAATGATATAAGTAACGATGAATTTCGTTACTCGTTATTAAAGAAAATGTAACGCCGTTACTTTTTCGTTACTGATACAAAAAAGTAACGGCGTTACCAAATCGTTACCAAAAAAAAAGTAACGAAATAGTAACGTCGTTACAAGTAATGCGTTACTTCCCAACCCTGATAAAATGTCATCTGTGTGATCAATCAGATTTGATGAAATATTCCGGAAATTTTTCTTTTGTTCCAATAATCAATAAACAGCCGTAAATTTGACGTAACGAAATCTTGAAGTTAAAAGATGGACTAAACACATTATGTTAATATTACGCTTATTGGAGCAAATGGAAGGTTTTCGGAATATTTTATAAATCTATCGACCTTACAGATGTAATTTTATGGATATTTTTTTCTTTCAAAAAAGAAAGGAAAAGTTCAAATATCATTTTAAGAATATATCTTTGTTCCTTCAATCTATTTCACAAAAATAGAACGTGATTTTGCAAGGATTTTTCGCTTCTGACATCATCAATTAAAAGGACCGCGGCAAGGGACCGGGAATCTTAAGAGTGCGCACGCGATTATTTTTGAAAACTCCACTCTCAGGCGATATGAGAAATTGCAATCGGAAGTGGCAAAGTCCAATGATGCGAATCTGCCGAAAGAACTGTCCACCTTGGAGAAACAGCTGCACGTCAAAGAAGGGGAGATCAACGCTGTCATCAGCCTTTACAAAGAAGTGAGAGCCGTCATGAACATTCACGCCGCCGTGTGATCAATCAGATTTGATGAAATATTCCGGAAATTTTTCTTTTGTTCCAATAATCAATAAACAGCCGTAAATTTGACGTAACGAAATCCTGAAGTTAAAAGATGGACTAAACACATTATGTTAATATTACGCTTATTGGAGCAAATGGAAGATTTTCGGAATATTTTATTCGGAATCTATCGACCTTACAGATGTAATTTTATGGATATTTTTTCTTTCATCATGTGTGATCACTGATTGATCACACATGATGCATTTCGCAAAACAGATGATCTTAAGCGTTATCGTGCGAGCAGGTGATGTCGCTGAAGCAGCAGATGAAGATGCTGCACGAGAGGGGCAGTCTCGTTCGCGTAGCGACCGTGTCGTCCATGGAACCGCACAGGAATCCTTTCTCGATATCGCTCGTGCCCGGCAGGTCTCCTCACCGGACGGACACTGCGCAGATCCTTGGCCGCGGAAGAGGATCAAACGTCTACGGTGCCACGCGAGATCCGCCCGCGTCTGTGCAGCTGGTCGCGCTACTACGGCAAATTCAAACCTTCCACAAACAACTGCAGCTCGTATCGTAACTTCACATCAGTATGAGGAAATACGGTGGGACAGAATCGGTCTGCTGTATCAAAAGTTAACTGCGTCGTTTCAGCCACACGACGATAACGTCGGAATTTTGCTCACCTGCAATACAGAGCGAGGCGCGTAAAGCTTGACAGATGAATATTGAGGAGAAACAGTGAAATTTTATCAGGCAAAGTTGAACGGATCACTTTTACTTTTCTCTGTATGAATGAATTAAGATAATTTCTAGGTCATTATTTTTTTCTTTGATGGAATTACATGCTTTTCTATCATGTTTGTATCAAGACGAATTCAATTTTCTTAATGCGTTCATACAGAGCGAAATAATATACATGGAAAGAAAAATCTCGGTTCGTTTGACAAAATGGGGATCAGATGAAAACACGGTGACGGGAAATGTTATGTCTGTTATCGCGAGAAGAACTGATCTGGACATCCTGTGTTAAAACCAAAGAATTGAGATAATCGAGACCGGGTAATCTTTCTATTCTTACAAATGAGCTTCCGTCTGCTCCTCGGACAACAGAAAAAAAGTGTCCGAATCGTTTTGCAACTGAGTGCATATAAACGACGATGAATAAGCGTTCACGTTCACTTTATGGCCATTGGTCGCGCGGGAAGCGATTTGGAAGGTGTTTGCCAAATAAACGAACGATTTCTTCTAGCAGATCATACTCCATTTTATTCGATTCTGCGTGCTACCTCATATAATGTGTAATATTCGTTCGTATGCATGTGTATGTACGGTTGTATGTATTTATGTATGCGCAGTTGCCTGTATTTATACATATAATATATATATGTATATACACGTAATCCACATTTGCGTGTGTGTATGTGTATAAACGCCAAAGGTGGTTCCAGGGGATCCCCCGCTAAGACAGACTTCGCCGTCGCAGCTCACGGTCGATTGCAATGGTCAGTTGCAGCTACGTGCAGCACGTACGATGAAAACCCGAGAGAAACTGATCCGTTATATCGCTATTGATTTCCCCGTTTTTTCGTTTTTTCCCTTCTCTCTTTCTTTTCTCTCCTCTCTCTTTCTCTCTCTCTTCCTGTCGCAAGATCCTAAGTCCCTAGATATGTTCGTCGGAGAGATCATGTGATTCGCATGGAGTAGCATCTCTAGCGTTCCTATTATTTCTTTTTCTTCGTTTAAGTACTAATTCAACGATTCGTAATCTATCCGATTCTCCGAGTGCCTCTCTTAGCTTGACTAAATAAAATTTCTCCGTTCCTCTCTGTTTCGACTCTCTATTCTCAAGTGTTTCTTTTTTTCTCGCCATCTCTCCACCTCTCTCTCTCTCTCTCTCACACACGCGCACACACACATTCTCTCTTTTTCTCTCTCTCTCTCTCTCTCTCTCAAAGCAGCTACACAGCAGAATCACACGCGATCCATCCTTATGCGTAAAGACATGTTTCTATATGCTACAAAAATTTATCTTAATTAACGTTAATATAAAACGTTATCTTAGATCTACGGTAATATTAATTTCCTCTCTTTTCTACTGTAGGGAGGAGCGCGGTTTAGATGCGCCCACGGGGAAATAAGAACATTTCTGTGGCATCGAATACAAAATTAATTTCTTCTCGTGAATAGCAGTCCCTTGGCAGTACGGCTGGAGGCGATAATCGCGAGAGAAAGACGCGACGGGCGATCTTGTGCCAATGCGGCGGTAGTAAAACATTTTCGTTCGATATCGCTCGTTACAGTCCAATTACAGAGGACTGAGATCGAATACGGAGTGTGTCGGATAATAAAGATGAGTGAAATTCGAAGATCGACCGTGAAAATCTATATGGATGTACCTCAATGTTCGATTTTTGTTTCCAATTATCACTTCAACGTTTGCCTTTGTGCATTCACTTCGTTCATTGCATCCACGAAAAGCTCATTGCTCCCCTTTTCTCGGGTTCTTCGTATTAATTAGTCTACCTCCACCCGTTCTTCCGAGAAAGGACGCGGTTTTTTTTTTTTTTTATATTTAAGTTATCGTCATTGCCGTAAGATCTCCCAAAGAAGAGACCGCCAACTTCGATCACCTCACGCGGAGGAAACGACGGAAAGAACACTCCCCTCCATTTCCATGTTCGAAAAAATCGCTTTTCATAAGGGAAAAAGAAAAGAAACATAATCGAGTCCTCTCCATACATACACTCTCCCATCTTAACGCAAGCATAGCTCTCATTATATCACAGACTAAAAAATGCTTTGGTCTAAAAAATTGTTTCGTTTTCTCTCTTTTTTTATTCTTTTTTTTTGTTTGTTCCTCATTTGTATTAATTAGTACGGGCAAAGTTTTCGCGTTCACGTGTTGGTGATCGGCTTCGCCAACGCCGATCGTGATATTCTTATTAATTGAAATTTTGTCAATTTCACCTGCGGGTGTACGAGATCAGTGCGAAAGACGGGGCTGTTTTTCGTCGATTTTCGTTTCCTGATTCGACGTGAAAGTTGCAGCATGTAATCGACGTGCAGAAACGGCTGAAAATCCGCGGAAGCTCCAGTTTTTCATAAAAATACAACACTCGGTATCTCTCGAATGTTTATCGTGATATAATGTTCTCGAGAACTGCATATTATGCAATTCTTCGAGAGAATCAGGGGTGTGATTTCACGATAGAAATATATGGATATATCAATCACCGCCTGTTGCGGAATGAGAGCTCTCTCTTCAAGAGTGTCCTCGCACAGTAACCGTCTTCTCGCGAAGAGAAATTGAAAACTCTGCAGCTCGATTACACGCTGAGACCTCAAGATGATCGATTTCGTGAATGTGAGACGTTGCAGAAAACGCAAATAACCCGTCTGGCGCGATTGCAACTCAGTAAGACTCACAAAGCATTTCTTTTTTGTGTTAGTCGATACGTTGTAGAACTCAAGCCATTAGCACCCTTGATTTGAGACTCTATGTGAAAAAATCGATCAAGCGGAATTTTAAGGCGTTTACGGTAATCCCTGTCGGCTGTATATACGCTGCGAACGGCCTTAAAATCGTACTTGTACAAAAATATAAACGCAAAAATCAACGAGCTTTTTAGTGAATATTTTCTTTTTTTTTCTCTCTTCTTTTTAATACCTTATTAAGATCGTAACATTTTATAGTACTCTACAATTACAACATGTGATATCTTTTACAAGGTACTTACACTTACGAGTATAACCCCACAGATTCGTTCTTTACTCTCAGCGTTAAATTTTCAGCGATTACTTTAAGATGATAAAATAAATATCGGACTCGCTATAAACGTTAGTCATTACGTTACGTCCGCTTTCTCTTGTATCCTCTTCCCCCGTTTAAGTCTTATCGATATAATATTGATCGTGGGCTGATTCTCGTCTTGTCAGCCGATCCTTAAGTAGTAAAATTAACACCCTTATCTCGATGGTGACAATGAAATCATGATCAAAAGGGGATATTATCGTTTGTCTCGAAGGTTAAATATCGCGGATATGAAATTATACATTTGGTTTCTTCAAGTGAAAATGTTACTCGATATATTTCTCACGGGTCGTGAGACGCGTCTTTCGTGTATTTCGGAAAAATCTTAATCTGGAATTTTAGTCTTAATGATCTCACATGTCGATGACAAGTCCGTCAGTATTAGGCATAGTTCGTTCGATATCCGTTCACGCGATCGTCGTTATAAAATTTGATATTTTAAGTATAAACAAACCTGTGGCAAGCTTCTCTCATGAACATATATCAAAAATACAAAGTACATTCCGTGTCTCTTTTCCCTTGTCGTTTGACAATAGTTCTCGAAATTGATCAACGGTGAATATAGTGAAACAAGCGTCTAACTCTCCGTATGGAACATTCAGTCCGATGTACTTCGTACAAAGAGAGACAAGATAAATAAGTGGAGGACAGTCGTGTGGAAATATTTCCGTAACAAATGGGTTGTAAAACGTAATGCGTTGTAAAGCGCAAAATAAGAAAACCATGATTACATCATACGCAATAATCATTTTACGCTGTAGACTTATCAATGTTTAAAACGTGTGTGTATATCTGTGCATATGTGTGTATGTGTTAGTGTCTTTATTTCTGGAAACGTATTACGTCTTGCGTACCATAATTCTGTTAATCCTTCTTATGTGTACGTTCAACGTATCCACGTGTTCATCAAAACAACAATGTCTTAAACAAGTCGCGTTGTGCTGATATCGAAGACATCGATACTATTTCTCGAACATCCCTCATATTCTATGGTCGAAAGGAACGATAAGAGACGAGAGAGTTCGCGTGAACTCACGGAAACGAAAGGAATCCCAGACGCGTACGTATTATCCTTCTCTCTGTCTTTGAAATCTTTTGATTCTGGACGATAGATTCTCGTTATATATACCAGCGTTCCGTTCGCCTCTCGGTCGAACTGTTTCCTCGGACCACCTTTCAATTGCGATAGCGTAGCGGGCCGTGTAAATATGTTGCTCGCGTTCATAGTATACAACGTGTGTCCCGTTGTACAGACAGCCTGAGGCTATCGCTTCAGGAGTTTGGACTGCTCGTCATTTCAAGCCAGCTCGTCGTTATGTCACGCGTATTAAATACTGCGTCAAGCTTTCTTGGCTATGAGAGCGTCGATCAGTCTGAGCTTTGCCTTCGCTTGCTTGTAGGACTCATAGATGGTGATGACCTGCGGACCCCGATCTTCGCGCTGCATCCGACGGCCTGCTCGAACCTCGAACTGAGCTTCCAGTTCCTTCAACGCCCTGCGGAGTCGTTTCTTCTCCTCACGAGTAGCCCGTTGCTGTATCAACAATTCTTCTCTGTAAAAGAGCAGATGTTCCATGTGAGAGAGTTCGATAAATACTTATCAGATCAATTCAGTTGATTGAAGTACACGGACAGAGAGAATTATGGGGTAAAATGTACTATAGGATTTAACCTATCGACATTTTGCCTTAATTTATTATCTTTCAGTTTCATATGTGGTATTTATATTTTTTAGAAACTAAGATCTACCACTAAAAAATTTATTATGTTGTTCAGCAAAATTCACTATGGTTTTCAATAACATAAGCTGTATTGACAGTTTATGTTATTTCTGCTCTACTAGAAAATATGATAATATTAAGAAAAATTTATATGAAAAAAAATATATATATAATATATATGATATTCTTTCTCCGCGTAGAAGTGTCAAAAAATTTTTATTGATAAAATTCTCAAAGAACAAGTAAAAAGTTCATAAATCGAGACAGGTGATTGTGAACTTACTGGGGAAGAGCGTGTAAACTTTCGCCGCCCCCGCGACTGCCTTCGCTGCTGCTGTGTTGGCTGTCGCTGTCAGTTGGCAATTGATCCGCGGGATCGATACAGTCTAGAATACCTCGATGAGACATGTCGGGCTCGCTTGCTCTCCTATCGACGTCCGTCGGATTCCCCGGCAAACTCGACGACGTGAAGTCCATAGTTTCATGCTCCAAAATCGTAGCTAATTCCGAGACGCTGTCTTTGTTTTTGCTCTGCGCACAGTATATAACGTGAAGTATATATGAATACAATTATAAATTATTTTTGTGCTGGAAGCGCGATGTCGCTAACTGAATGACCAGACGTCTCTAACTGAATGACGAAGCTTTATTTTTTTTAAATAGAAAAACTAATTTTTTTATACTTAAAGAAGTAATGAATAATATGATCAAAACTCTACGTTGATATCTTCATCCATTTCTTCGAAAAAAATTTGTAGAAACTTGTATTTTTTCGGTTAGATAAATCAGAACCTTTCCTTGAGAAAGTCATGTGTCGGATTACGCATATGTGCGGCTGAATAGTTTTCAATTGACAGTAATCCATTGTTCTTACCGCGCCCGCTCTGATGAGCAGTCTCTTCAAGGTTCTGTACCGGTCGTACAACGGTCGCACAACCGCTCGGTCCTCCTTAGAGACCGGTCTACCGAAGGCGCTCTCGATGTGAAGCAACGCCTTCTGCACGGCTGTCTTCTCATCCACCAGTTGCTCGTAGCTGAGCTCCTCCATGTTGTCGGGCCGATTGTATTTGATCCGCTTCTCGTTGAGCTTCTTCTCCACCTCCTTCACCGTCTCCTCCATCGACGTCGTCCTGGACTTCTCGTGGCTGTTGTTATTGTTGACGGGACTGCTGGCGGTGTCGGCGGTGTCGGCGGTGTTCACCTTGCCGAGCGCCAGAAGAGCGCTTATTGGGTCCTCCTTCAGCATTTTGTGCTCCTTCCGCAACTTATTCAGCTCCGTGCACAACCGCTTGATGTCGCGATTGCTCATCTTGTCGGAGTGACTTGGCCGGTAGCCGAAGTTCTCCTCGAACTCGTCCTCGTACTTCTTAATTTTCTTCTTCAGGCCGTTTATGTGCTTCGCCAGATTCTTCAGACCCAGATCCGACGGGCTGGGCATGCTCGGCTGTATCTCCTCCTCAGAGTAAAATCTCCTGGGAACCAGCAGCGAGTTTCTCGGTGACAACATAGCTTCCACTCGGGCGTCCACGGCCTCTTCCTGCAAAATTCAGTCATCACGTTAACGCGTTCACGACAACTGTTGACATCGGTTTACTCATGATTTTGTTGATTATTTTAACAAGTATTTCGCATGGCTCGAAACTCAAGAAAGAACGATCCGTGTAGGAAGGTGCTTTCGTAAATAATTACAGTAATTTTTACAATTTTAGATTGAAACGACACCTGATCTTCTACACTTTTATCTGCGCGTAACTTCTTAATATTTGCATGTGATTCCTTCAAATCATTCACAAATACTCACATTCCCTTCTAAATGTTGGAAACCCCAGTTAGTCAAACTGGGATTGTTCACGTCTTCGTGATCGACAGTAGGTGGACGAGCTGGTGACGGCGATCTGCTCGGTCCACTGCTCAACATCTCCAAGAAGCTTTGAGCCGGTGAGCCGTTGTGGCTGGTGGGGCTTGGTGACATGCTGGAGATGTACATGTTCTCAGACTCCTCTTCGTTTTCCTGGTGAGAGAAGAAAACTATCTTATACACACCATTAACCCGAGCAAAAATGTATCTAGTAGAGCAGATTTCAAGACTAGTAGTTAGATAGTAATGACTAGATAACTTTTCTAGCCAGTCACTAGCTCGTGACTGGCTAAATATTCCTACTCAGTCTTTTGAATGTCAGGACTATCTAGTAACTATACTAGTTACATAGATAGTGGCTAGATGGAAAATGATTACACAGTAACGAGATAGAAAATCATCGGTAAATCCTGAATAGGATTTGGACATTAGAACTATCTAGTACTTATACCAATTATAGTTACAAGTTATTTTTTTGTATCTAGCTACTAGATAATTTTTCTGGTACAGCCACTAGGAGAAGTGAGCGTTACGTTCCTAGTTAGTAGCGATATAAGACCCAACTTTTCTATGTCATTACTAGACAATCACTAGATTCAATTTCTGCTCGGGAATGCATAAAATATATACCAATCGTTACTTTCAATCCTCTGACAGCGACATTACGCGGAATCTACCAAATCCACAGCCGTGTTCACATTCTTGGCAGAAAATTGAGGGATCTCATCGTTCTGTAATGTAAGACTTGGCAAACCCGACAAACCCGCACCTACCTTGCTGGAACTCGGGTCCACGTCCGGGACTCTGTGCACCCTTCGTTTGCGCGCCTGTCTTCTGCCTCGCGGAGTGATGCTTCTGCTGAAGCGCTCGCTGCTCCGCAATCTCTCGGCGTCGCAGTCATATTTCTCAGTCGCCACGACCACTTCGCACGGCGACGGCACCGACGACGATTTCTTCGAGACCGGCGAGACGTTGGTTCTCTCGTGCAGCGGTAAACCGCCGCATCTCTGCGCACAAATCATCAAAAGTCGATCAGCAATTGCGTTTCTTTTGTGATGAGTTAATTCTTCGACATTCTACATCTCTTATATCCAGCGCACGGCTCTTACAGGATGAAATAGCCAATTATTGAGACCCAATCGATTCTCTTCATTGACATTCTAGAAAAATCTGATTTTCTTTGCGACCAAGGACGGTTACTCATAGTCTGAATTGTGAAATTCTCTTTTGGAATTATAGAGTAGGCAAGAAGTTTAAACACAATGTTGCGTAATTCTGATACGAAGTCAAAAAGTCAATACAGTTAATACAAGTAGCTCTATAGATAGTTTTACTGGAAGAGCGTTCGCGACTACACGTGATAGAATCGTCCAGCCGTCACAAAAAGAGCGTGTCGCCACCGTGCACTCACCACGCCGTGGCCCATGTCTTGGCTAAGTTGTGATAAGATGTGCAAGTGTTCCTGGCTGTTGAAATCTTCGTGACTGCTCACACGTCTGATCGTATCCGCGACGTCGGTAGGACTGTCAAGAACACGTTCCTCGCTGCTGCTCCTGAAAAACGTAGTCGTCGCATTCCACTTACAGTTCTTTTTTTAGATCCGTCTAAGAGAGCAATGTTAGCGAAAACAAATACTCCGTCAATGTGTATGTCCTGTCAATTCAGGCTGCATGAGAGTTCAACAAACAGCTATTCTCAACGTTTCTGCACCTGCCGACGTTGCGCATCACGCGAGGAGAATTTGCACTTACAGTTTTTTATTTTTAATTTTTCTCGTTTCAAATTCTTTACAATTTCGCCAAATCTTTTAATAACGCAGGAATAGACTCAAAGAGTGGTGCAAGAAGTGATTAGCAAGGTTTATTTTGCCATTTTATCCATTAGTATACTTTTTACTATTTAATAGTATTTAATAAATTTAATTTATTTAATAGTATTTAATAGATTTAATAGTATTATTTAATAGTATTTAATAGATTTCAAGTAGTTTTTCTAAATACGATATAGATAGCGCATATAAAATGGGAAGACAATAAATAAAGCTAGAAAGTTGACATGTTTCTCACAAGTAAACCTACCCAAAAGTTACACTCCGATTTCTTTCTAATCTGGCACAAATGTAGAAGTACAAAAAAATATTTAGGTCATATTTTTTTATTTTGGTCCATTTTAAATTTCACGAGCAGTTTATAGCTTTTTAATGTTTTCATTCCTATCATCAACAAGTGCAACAAAAATACATAAGAAATAAAATTGAATACAAAATATAGGCGTTTTTGGTTTGCTGATTATGAATATGAAGTCAAATGTGTAAAATTATTTGTATAAAAAATAAAATGTTTATATAAAACATGTAAAAAGTTGAAAAAAATTATTTATACAAATAATTTCTCGGTTTGGCCAAGATTCGAACTATTTTTGACTAATTTAGCACAGATTTTAAATATTTCGGTTAGAATCTCGACTAAAGAAATTTAGAATGGTTCGTATCTTAGCTATACCAATTTTGTTAAAATTTTAATTAAAATAGCCGGATTTCGGTTTGACTAAGATTCAAACCATTTTTGATTAATTTAATACAGATTTAAAATTTCGGTTGGAATCTTGGCTAAAGAAATTTAGAATGGTTCGTGTCTCAGCTATGCCGATTTTGTTCAAATTTTAATTAAAATTGCCGGATTTCTTTCTCTCTCTCAGTTTAGCCGAAATTCGAACCATTTTTAACTAATTTAACACAGATTTGAAATATTTCGGCTAAAGAAATTTAGAATGGTTCGTGTCTCAGCTATGCTGGTTTTGTTAAAATTATTTAACTATATCTTGTATTCAATTTTATTTCTTACGCATTTTGATTGTACTTGTTGATGATAGGAGTGAGAACATTAAAAAGCTACAAACTACCCGTGAAACTCAAAGTAGACCAAAGTGAAAAAATATGACCTAAATATTTTTTCTACTTCTACATTTGTACCAAATTAGAAAGAAATCGGACTGTACCTTTTGGGTAGATTTACTTGTCACAGAATCCCACGATAAGTAATCCTACGATAAGTTTTACAATTTGTGCCACGCGTGAAGATTAAAATTCAACAATACCTTATCAGCTTTCGTTCCTGGCAGCAGGACTCGCGACGTTCCTTGCGCTTACGCGGTTTCAGCGCGCAAAGCAAGAACGTGCCCTCGGAGTCCTTCGGCTCGTCCTTGGTATCCTTGCAGATCTTGCAGTCGCCGGCAGGTAACACGCCGTTCACTGGATTTTCACGGATGCTACAGCCATACGGGGGCAGCCGCAGAATTCCGAGAGAGAGAGAAACAGAAAGAAAAAAGAAAATCAGGTCAGGCCATAGAAGTCGAAGCGCGCGACGATCTTGAGGTGTCAGCCTTCGAACTTAAACGAGCTATGACTCAAACGAGCCGCGCGTAATAAAAGTGCCGCGCGAATGCGAAGACGGCCGGCAAATGAGCGAGAGATTAAGCCCAACGACGTCAGACGGACAGACAGACAAATAGCGGGATATCTGGAATACGAAAAAAAAAAAAAGAAACGAAAAGAGGAAAAAAATGTCGTGCATTTCGTCGAGAACGCGACGCAACGAGATGAATCACACCTGTTGGCGACTATCACCGCCGGTTTTTTCGCTCGCGCGGAACATTACGTAAGGTAATTCTCTGTTCTTTCTTCCTTTTCTTTTTTTTCTTTCCAGAGACGCGCTATCTGTCAACTGAATGAGGTAGTTGATCGCGAACTGTCGTCGTGTCGAAGCTGACGATGACAAGCGGACGGACAAGTTCGGGGAGGAAACGCGCGGGGTTTTTGGCGATCATCATTATCGATAATGAAGAGGGGCAGGAGAGGAGTTTGCGATAATTGGGACAATACAGCGGGTGAGGGCAAATTTATTTATCTCCCTCTCTCTGTCGCGCGCGCACGCAAAGCGTGGTGATTCGCGATGGAGTGATGGATCGGCGAGAATGATCGAGCTTCGACAGGAGGTTTGTTCTTTTTAACTGAACTGTCTGAACTGATGTACATCGATGCAATGAGTTAGAACGAAACAAATATATTTTGTTTCATTTTAACTTATTGCATCAGTAAGATTTACGTGTTAGAAATGAAGATACTTCCAAAATCAGAGCATTCTTTTTCCTGCGCACATTTTTGCTTGAAAATTGATCTTACATCTGGAATCGAACGTCGTCGCATCTTCGACGGTATTAATAATTGTTCACGTCTGAACAGTTATATCGCTTGCCAAATTAATTAATTCATTAAATAATTCCGCTTCATTAGCGGGAGAAAATAATCCCTCCGGTATTACGGAAAAAAAAGATAACCAACGGTGGATTACACTTTAATTGAGCGTAATATCGAGATTGATATCGGTATTATCTCGCGAGTGAATTATTATAAAATAACAGATAAATATGTTAACGCATTTGTCGGCTCTAAATGTATTAATCGTGTTTGCGTGAGGGATTCGCGTGAAATATGTTCGTTTCGGTAGAATTCATTTTTCGCTTTAATTTAAATGTTCCTTCTTTCGCCTCGAGATAAAGAGTAGCATTCTCGCGATATTATAATGCAATACGTATTTTCATTCCGTACGTTCTGTATTCCGGGATGAAATTCCGCATGTATTCTGCCAAATCTTTCGCATGCTTCAGGCATTATCGTGTTGTCATTCCGCAGGATTAAATCCACACACAGAGCGAAGATCCAATCCGCGAATCTAATTAACATTCAAGCCGCGTGTAATTATTTCGTTTTCTCTTGAACACGCAATTGAAAGTTTAAAAAGATCATATGTCACTTGGCAATATTTTTGAAACGTTCTTAATATCAATAATTAATATTAATTAATTAATATTAATATCAATAATTCTGAAATTTTTGTACAATGTCTGTATATTAGTCTTTAGTAGTCATCGTAATAGTTTTTCATCAAAATGTTACATGTAAGTTTATACTGTAAAAACTGTGTTAAATTTAACACATTTCATGTGTCCCAAATCATCCATTCTCATTTATGTGTAAATTTAACATAAAACAAATGTGATAAAAAGTAACACGCATAATATGTAAAAAATTAATACAAGAATTTAACACTTGAATACCGTTAGGAATCACAGGTTGTGTTAAATTGACATATTTAATATGTCAGACATAGATTTTGTCCATTTAACATTTTCATTTCATCGAAACTATAGATTAATACTTCTCTCAAATGTTAAAATAACGTTTTATTTTAGTTAATTTGACATTATACATATGTCAATTCAACACAAACTGTGATATGTCAATTTAACACAACCTGTGATTCTTAATGGTATTCAAGTGTTAAATTCTTGTACTAATTTTTGACATATTATGCGTGTTACTTTTTACCACATTTGTTTTGTGTTAAATTTACACATAAATAAGAGTGGATAATTTGGAACACATGAAATGTTAAATTTAACACATCAATTTTTACAGTGTGGAAAATATTAAAAATAGAAATTAAAAATTGCACGCTAAAAATCTCAAGGAACACACACGTATAAAAAGTATCAACTTTAATTGTAAACATCTCAGCTCTTGGATAGTCAATCTTTTTCTAATTACACTAGCAGTCTATAATATTTCACTATGTACGTATGTAGTACATTTACATAGTAGAATATATACGTAATGTAAATATCAACAAATGTTCAAGGAATTCGTTTTGTGATCCAATTACTTTGAGAACCAGAAATTCCGTCTTCTTCAGCCAAAAAATGAGCTTCGTTCATACATTGTCACGTTAATTCAATCCATCCTTTTTACGTCTCCGCGCTCTTTCGCGATCGTTTCCCCTCTCCTCTCTCGTCGCGAGTGAGAGGATCGCGACGGCGAAAAATATTGACTTTTACCGGCGGCGCTACGTCTATTTCGCGATAGTGGCTTGCTTTACTCGTCCTGCGAATCCAGGTCGTCCTTGACGATTATTTGATCTTATGTCACGAATAATCGCGGTCCCAGTATAGTAGTTAGGCACACGGAGTCGCGGGGCGTAAATGCTTTCGTCGTGACTCACCAAAGCGCGTGACAGCGCTTCTTCACGCAGCAAACCGATGCTTACGGAAATAAAGGCGCGACGCAATGGCGTGCATTTCGATTTGTTTTCTTTCTTTCTTTCATTCTTTTGCGAATCCTTCCAACAACGAGAAACCATCGGGTCGATGAAGACGAACGAACAAGATCAAATTTTCGAGGGTTTCCATCATTCTCAAATTTCCTGCTCCATTTCTAGACCTTTGGCAATCGCACAGAGAAGATGGTTTGAATTAACTTGACAGTGAGAATGAATTAAACGCGTTTCGCTTGAAAGAAACAAGATTCTTGTTCTTATGAACCAAGAGCATAAATTTATTATTTATCAAACAAAATTACACGGTTCTGTATATTTATTTCATTGTCACTTGAAACGTCGCTGTCAGTTTAAAACGAAATCGAGATAAATATCCAATAAGCAAAAAATCATTGACAGAACATTGTTGCAATGATATTCAATAGCGTACAGAGATTTCTAATATGTAATTCAACGTTTTCAACGTTGTGTTCAGTCATTATGAATAATTTCGGCACTTCGATATTTCGCAAACATTTGTGCGATATTCAAAGAGATCATCAAATATTATGCGGCAATATCTTTGAAATATTTTTAAAATATTTGATATTAATTCTAAAACTTGTGTACAATGTCTGTAGATTAGTTTTTAATATCATAGTAGTTTTTCATAAAAAAGTTACATGTAAGTGTGTGTTTAGAAGATTAAAAATAGAAATTAAAAATTGTGTACTAACCTCAAGGAATGCTCACGCATAAAAAATGTCAACTTCAGTTGTAAACATCTCAGCTCTCAGATAGTCAATCTTTTTCTAATTGCACGAGCAATCTATGGATGCGTTCAGCAGAGAAAGCTGCCTTGCAACTGTTGTAAAATTTGCAAATCTGATTGGTACATGCTCTTGGATTCAACCAAAATTAAGAGCATATCCCAATCAGATTTACGAATTTTACAACAGTTGCAAAGCAGTTTTCTCTGCTGAACGCAGCTTATAATATTTCACTGTATACGTATGTAGTGTTGAAAACTTCATCGAATTTTCACGAAACTCGTTTCACAATGCGATTATTTTAAGAACCAGAAATTCCTTCTCCTTCAATCAAAACGATCTTCATTCGTGCATTGTCACGTTAATTCAATCTTTCTTCTCCGTGCATTTAACATTCTTCGAAAGTCTCGCTCGTCAACTCCATTAAGAGGAAACTTTGCGCGCGCTCGACGTCGCAGTACAGCACAATTTTCTGCAATGCCAAAACTGAGCTTCCAACTCTTAAAAGTTCAACTTCTTCGGGGCATTCCGTAGACAGAGACTTTTCGCGCGCGAAGATACAATTGTTCCGAACGGCGTCGTGTGTCCGATAATCCAGGATATATTGGACGCAATATATATATATATATATATATATATATATATATATATATATATATATATATAATATCCAACGCGGAAATACGTTGCGACAAAATTGGATCGCGAGTGTACGCGGTGCGGCTCAAGGGGAAAAGGAAGTCCTGATCAGACGTCGCCTGGGCTTGATTTCCTCAATTAGAACCGTCGGGACGAGACGTCGCGTGCTACGAGCTTTCGCATCGGACTCTAAATATAAAGTCCTCGTGTGTCGAGCACATACACACGCGTATACGCGTGCACGTATTATCCGCAGTGTACATCGAGTATGAGCTGGGAAAATTCCTATAGTGCAACTGTGCTACGCCACTGGGGCCAATGGCGCGCGTTGCGGTCGCGAACCCGCAGCGGAAAGTTAATCGCGGGAACATCAACGCGACGCGAGCTAATTACGCCCGTCCTCACACGACGTAATGCGTCGTTAATTGTTTCGCGATCAATCCTCGATGAAACGCGCCTGATTTAGCTCGTTGTTGCGTATCATGTGTCGATCCCCGCCCGCCGTTAGCCTGAACATTTGTGCAAACACCGAATTTGTCTGCAAGTATACGGGCAAGTAAATACGTTACGGCAAAACCAACAAAGCGCAATAGCAATCTCGAACGTAGACTCACATAGAGAGAGAGAGAGAGAGAGAGAGAGAGAGAGAGAGAGAAAGAGAGAGAAAGACGAGTGAATATATGTACCTCTGAGTAATCGAGACGTTTACGAGCCTCTTATTCTTATCAGTTTCTACTTGAGCTTGAGCAGTATGTAAACTGTTGTATCT